GGGATTAATTTTGTCTGAACTCCACCCTCTGCTAGATGTCTGCCAAGGTCAGGCTAAAAAAATCTGATCCTCGAGCTTCTGATATGTAAAATGGGAGTATTCTCTCTGGTAAGATATGTGGGGAAAGAGGACCTGTTAGCTGCCCAGCACTTTGGATGCGTGACTTTTTAATACATTTAAATAGTGCTCCCTGCCCTGACTTGAGTCTAGATGATGGCTGCAATTTATCCTTAGCTTTTATATCTGGTACAAGGAGGAGAATGGTGTGTCACAGGGATAGGGATAAAATACCCATGTTAAACCTGGTTTTACCATTTAAGTACTTTTGGGGCCTTGAGAATGAAAGGAATCCTTTCATTTGAAATCGGTGGCCTAATGTCAAGTATTAGACTTTAAACTTCCTCCTTCTAAGGACAGAGGGAGCAGCCACTGAGGAAATGACTCAGACTATGTTAGTAGTTTCATGGGGTAGACACAGTACAGCCAGTAGAAGGAGTGACTTCTTTGTCTTTTCCTTTATAGTTTTCCCATTTAAGGTTGTCTTCCCTCCCTCCCCCACCTCCGCTACTATTAAAGAACTAAGTCCAGAATATGTCAACAAAGTAAATCAAGGACCTAGCCTTGGGCAACAGTAAGCTTAGTTGTAATTCCCCAGACAGAACCTGCCCCCAGCCCCCCAGGTTGGGCCCTAGGTAACTTCCTTCTGTGACACCACTTATCTTCCTGTGGTGCAGGCCAAGTTAAGTACTGCCCCCACCCCACCTCCCTTAACATCTCTGATAAATTTCTTTTTCTTCCTTTCTTTCCCTTCCTCCCTCCCTCCTTTTCTAACTTTTGTCCTTTCCTCATCTATGAAGCACCTGTTTAGCCATATTTAAGGTTATGTGCCGTATTCTAGGTTGAGTAATTTGTCATTCCTGCCTTCAACTCCCTTATAATCAAGAAATTCCAGATATGAATAACTGGAATTCAGTCCCCCGCTCCTTTCTTAGGTCCCCATCACTATATCAGTGTCTTGAAGGAATTAAGGACTTGGTAAAATGTAGAGAAGGAATAGCAGTTGAGGTTTGACACTGCGAAATTCCCCACTACATTTTCCAGTGTGATTCCTGATATGCTCCCAGAACTTGATCATATGTACTGGTCAGACCAGTAGAGACACCAGTATCTTTGGGGTTGTGTTATTGTCTGTAGTTATTCTTTTCTCCAAAAAGCTGATCCCTTCCTATTTGAATCCTCTGCCTTGAAACTGACAGCATACATTCCCACCAGTTCCTCTTCAATCTCCCCTCCTCTGGATGGGTTACACAGGGCCATGAATCCTGCCATCATCCCCTCATCATCACCTGCCCTCACCTTGAAGCATCCTCCAGCTCCTTCTTGATGGTTTCTTCCCCTCTGCCTTCCAATGTTTAGACCTTCCCCATCTTTAAAGCAAAACAGACCTTAACTTTTCCTTGCTAGATGGAAAGTTGAACAGTGGTAAGGACTCAGACCATTCCCAGGTATTTCAGCACATCTTCTAAGGATCTTAGTGCTGTCTGAACATGGAAATGTCTCTCTGAGCCCTCTAAAATGGTACAATCCAAAGGACATCATTTATCTCCCTCAAAAAGGCCCACGGAGCCAACATTCTGTGAGCTCAAGAGCTGGCAAAGGGCAGCTGGACCCAGCCCATTGTCCCTGGGTTCTTTTTTGCTGAGCTATTTGTTCCAAGTTCCATTCTGCTACCTAGGCTGAAAATTCCACACATGCTCAGCTCAAAGGAATGCAGCTCATGCTGGCCAAAGAGCTTGCCAGGAAATAGGGAGCAACTTTTCATTTGTGGCTTCTTGTCTTTTGTGGCTTCCTCTCTCACATCTGTGAGGCAGACTGTGCTACGGCCTGAGCTATTCCATCAACCTTTTCCAACTGGGGAGCAAATGCCTTCAGGCCACTTCCTCTGGGGAGCCTCCGCTGACTTCTGTAGGCAGCCTGGCTCCTGACCTTTAAAGGTCCAGAGACCTTTTGTTTGGTATGGTATTTGATGCCTTCCTGGTGTTTCCATGATTTGCTTGTTGTTTAACTTCATTCATTCCCTCACTCATTCATTTATGTAAAACATTTTTTAAAATGAGCACCTAGGGACGCCTGGGTGGCTCAGTCGGTTAAGCGTCTGCCTTCGGCTCAGGTCACGATCCCGGGGTCCTGGGATCGAGTCCCACATCGGACTCCTTGCTGAACAAGAAGCCTGCTTGCCTCTGTCTCTCTCTCTCTCTCATAAATAAATAAAATCTTTAAAAAATAAATAAAATAAAATGAGCACCTACTCTGTGCCAGGCCCTACGATAGGTGTTAAGGATAAGTAGGTCAGAGATAGGGCCTACCCTCACAGAGCTTACTGTATGGTAAGCTGCTACCAGAAACAGACAAGTATATGTACATACAACAACAGCCAGTGAAAACCCTGGAAGGTAGGAGTGGTGTGGGGCATCAGCCTGCATCACAAGGGGTTTGACTAATGTTTGTAGAATGTAAAAATATTTCCATTAGTCCCCAATTTTTTCACATTAACGGGAATAAACAAGATATGGACTATCTAACAGTGTTCTTCAAATTGTTCTCTCTTGGCCTCAGAATGCATACTCTCATGTATAACAAAGAATTTGACTTTCTCCCTCAACCTCAAGTCCCTCCTTAGGCATCCCTGACATGAAGGCCCTACTCAGAGGCTGAATGGATAGCAAGAGGAGCGAGGTCCCAGACACCAGTGGCTAGCCAGAGAAACCTGTTTCCGGAGATACGCAAAAGGCTGCCATGTATAACCGTATACCCCCCCACACACCCACACATACACTTACCACCACGATTTGCAAACAGGGGTTGGACTCATTAAGCCCACCCCTAATAAATCTGGTCTGCTGTTAGTTGAACCACATAAAGTTGCTGCTCTTTTTGTTTTTGGCCTGCCCAAATAGCGATTTCATATGGTTCAACCTAATATATCTGAGAATAAATACAAAAAGCCATACCTAAAGGAAGAGCTTGGACCAACCCACCCACCCATCAGATCACCTCTCTGATGTAATCTTAGGGGGGCAGGGCTGGAATGTAATAACGAATGATCAGCAATCTTTTTTTTTTTTTTTTTAAGATTTTATTTTTTGAGAGAGATGGGGAAAGCACAGAGGGAGAGTGAGAGGGAGAAGCAGACTCCCTGATGAGCAGAGAGCCTGACATGGGGCTCGACCCCAGGACCCTGAGATCATGACCTGAGCCGAAGGCAGTTGCTTAACCGACTGAGCCACCCAGGGGTCCCAAATGATCAGCAATCTTATCAACTGTGTTGTATGGAGAAAGCAGAAAACAAGAATGAGGGAGGAGGCTGGAGAATGGAAAGGAAAAAGAAGTAGGGTAAAGCCAAGAGGCCAGCAGGTGACACTTATTACCTACCACTGTCAAGGAAAGAGCAACAGGAAACTGGAGCGCATACAGATGTGCCCTGCTGTGAGGTGGTGATGACTCACTAAGCCCTACCCTGACTTAAAAGAAATCTGCCCACAGCTAACTCTTGGGATATACTCACCAACCAGCC